TAACCTGGCACATAGTGAATGCTCAGTATTAGCTTCCATTACTTGTGTTGAAACATAATCCATCTACCCAGACGATATTTACAGATCACTGATGGAGCATGGTCCTACAGGCTAAAGATAAAAGATGCCCAAGATGATGGTCCCCACCCTCTAGAAGCTCACAGGGGAAACAGCTCATAAGGCAATTCTATGAGTATGGGGCAAGAGAGGAACTGAACGAGGCTCAAAGAAGGGTCTGGGAAATACTGCTTGGAGATGGGGTGTTGTGGGAGAAGGCATGGAGCTCTGTTTCAAAAGTAGGTAGAAAAGCCAAGAAGATGCAGTACCGATCATGGGACTCAAACTAATGGGCACCTCTTGTGTGTATTTGTCTGGAAGAATTGACTAGAAGGGGTATGACCCACTTCTGCCTAGGCGTGGAGGGTGGGGAATGCCCCCCAGGGACTGTTCCTCTCACATGATCAGGGTCTCCTCAGTCCCTGGCTTGGGACACATGCTGTCCCTGTTGTTTGTATGCTCTGAAACCTAAAATGGCATCTGACAGCATCCCATCAGCTCAAGCAGCTCTGCCAGTATCAAAGGGCTTTCTGAATTTCCCTGTACCTTCCCAGCATCTTCAAACTGAAGTGGGCTTTGCCTAGCTCCTCGTGCCTGCATCTAAGTCTCACTACCTTCTAGGGCCACCCCAACCCCCTCACTTTGTTGTTGTTTAATTCTGTTCATCCTCTCTGATCAGCCTGCTTCCTCCACAGCTGTTTCAGTGACAATGGTTCCTCTTACTTTCTCCCTCCCTACCAAGTACTTGTGGTTTTTAGCCTAGATTATAAAGTCTGTGGGTTGTGTGTGTGTGTGTGTGTGTGTGTACATGTAGAGACCCGAGGTTGATGTCAGGTTCTGTGGTGTATATGTGTATGTGTGCATGTAGAGACCCGAGGTTGATGTCAGATCTGTGTGTGTGTGTGTGTGTGTGTGTGTGTGTGTGTGTAGAGAGACCAGAGGTTGATGTCAGGTGTCTTCCTTAGCCACTCTCCACCTTATTTTTTGAGACAGGGTGTTTCACTGAACCTGGAGCTTGCAGTTTTGGCTAGACAGGCTGGCCAGCAAGTCCCAGGGATCCATCTATCTCTGTCTCTCTCCCCCAGAATTTCACACCCCCTATTTCCCTGCCAGCCATGGGATTAGAGACACATGGCTACTGCCTGGCTTTTTATGTGGGTGTTGGGGATTCGAACTCAGGTCCTCATGTTTATGCAGCGGGCATGTTACCCATTGAGCCGTCTCCCTTAGCCGCTAGATTACAAAATTCTAAAGGTGAGAGTTGTTGTTTTGCACTGATGAGAACTCGGTAAAATTTTAATGAATATTTATTGGTAGACTGATTATTGAATTCAGAGGCTCCAAAGCGCTGTAGGGATCATCTGTGCAGAGTGAGAAATTTAGAAAGTGTTTTAATTTCCCCTAACAATTTTTTTAAGTGCCAGGATTATAGATATACACCCACATTCATTTTCAATAGACAGATCCTTTCTGGACTTCAGCTACCATATAAAGGGTACCACTGGGTATCACAGGGGCTGATGGAAATAAAGGACAGCAAGGCTGAGACTCTGGGTATTTAATCCTGACCCAAGCTTTGCCCACATTGCTGATTCCAGATGATCCAGGTTAGAAAGCTGTACTCCCCCTGCCCCCAACCAGTAATGCAACGGCAGCTGTGCTGGCTATGCAGGGTAAAAATGAGGTCAGGTTTTGTCAAAGCCAGTGCAGTTCACAAGTGAGTTCAACCGGCCAGATTCACAGCAACTATGGAGTCAGTCACATCAGTGAAACTGTAGATAGGAACTGACCTGCTGGGAAGAGAATTTGGGATACAGTGTGAACTTCAAAAAGTTTCTGCCTGGAAACTGAAGAGGTAACCATGGCAACTGGGAGGCAGGTTGAATTCCAAGAGGGCTCTTCATCTTCAGCAGGGATCTGTGTGCTCTCAGATCTGCCTGTCTGAGCTGCGTATCAATCCCTTTGTCTCTGCTTGCTTTGTGGAACAGGAGAAAGCACTAGTTCAGGAATCTGGAGCCGGCCCTGGTTTCAGCTGTTTCCAGTTTCCATGCACTTAATGAAGGGTGCCTCGGGCACTGCTGTTTTGTTGCCAGCAAAATGGAAATTAAAAGCCTCCAGTGGCCTATTCACAGGGACACAGAATGAACAGGGAGCATTGAAAGACAGTATTACTGAACAAATCAGTAATATTGTCACGTGGCCATGTCTGGGTTGATTCAAATATAGGCAAGAGAGGAAGGTAAGACTATGGGGTTTGATCCATCCATAAACTCTTTTGTCACATGGAGAATGGCTGTGCCATGGATAATACCCACATCTACATCTGGTAGCACACGATAAAAGTGTGCCTGGGGGCATGAGCAACACCTGGTGAAACAACCCTCATCTCAGCAGACCAACTGCACCCCAGAACCAGAGTGGCCTACTGGTGGCTTGGGCAGCCCCCTGAACCATGTGGACTGAGGAAAGCTAAGACACACAGCTGTTAAACAAGGCATCCTCCAACTACTTGCCTGCACACCACTGCCCAGCACACCGCTGCCTGCCACCAGTCTAGCCCCGGATCTGTGACGTAGGAAGAACAAGAGCTTAAGAGTTAGAAAGATGCACATGTGGATATGATGTTGTCCACACCTGGGGTAGGAAGAGATGCCATGTCCTATTTGCTTTTTGTTCTCCATTGAGTACCCAGGAGTTTGGGAAAGGCTTTGACTGGCTCTTTAGGGTGCACTGTTTTGACTAACTGTGTCACCCTCCACAGGTCCTGGCTCACTGAGGGGAATCTACTTTGACCACTGGTCCTATATTGCATTCTAACTTTGGACTCTGTTGTAGACTCCTCAACCACTACCAGCTCACAGGCCTCCCGTCCTCCACTCCCTCTGTGGTTTGTTTCCTTTCCCTTCTCCTTCCACCTTTTCTCAGCCTTCTCACTGAGCTCTCAGGTGAGTGTCTTCTCTCTCATCTCCTTCTCCGTTGTCTCCCCCGACCCCCTCTTGCTGGGGATCAAATCCAGGCTCTCGTGTGTGCTAGGCAAGTGCTGCACCACTGAGCTGCATGTCCTGTTTTTTCTTTTCTGATCCTTTACTTCACAGAAGTAAACTCTTATGTTGCCCCCTATGAAATGGAGACCTATATTCTAAAAGGCACAAAACCCTATTTTTCCATATTGTCTAGAATTCCAGTATCCCTATGAAAACTGAAAGGTAATATAGAGTGCTGAGTGTGCCTAGTCTTGTTCTAAGCTCCTTATATGTGGATGTGGGTACTGGGACATACCATCTAGATCTTGTCCTCAGGACTATGGCCACTGGTACTTGCTGTAAGCTCTCTCTTCGAGTTGCTCTTGACTGAGTCACCAGGCTTCAGGTCAGGCCATCTTCTCAGTGTAGTTACAATCAATAAATGATCAATGTTGAGGTATAAAGCCTCACCCCTGGCTTCAGAAGTAGATTGTTGTGGGCTAGAGAGATGGCTCAGCGGTTAAGAGCACTGGCTGCCCTTGCAGGGGACCCAGGTTTGATTCCCAGCACCCACATGGCAGCTAAAAACCATCTGTAACTCCAGTTCCAGGGGATCTGACACTTTCTGACCTCTGAGGGCACTGCATGACATGGGTACACTTACACACATGCAGTCAATACACTCATACACATAAAATAAAGATAATAAATAAAAAAAAAATTTTAAAGTAGACAGTTGTGAAGGACCAACTGACCTCCAGAGCATCCTTGGGACCAGCTGGGGTCTCTCCTGAAATGATGTGATAGCACTCCTCCTCTGCCCAGCCCTGCTGCCTCTCCTTCCTCCCAGTTCAGTTCTGAGAACTCTCCCCAGCAAACCTTCTGCATGCCTGCCACTGCCTCAGTGTTTTCTGGGGGAAGTCCAACAATGAACTTTAGTCCTCATAACCATCTTATGGAATAAGTGTAGTGTTGTCTCAATCCTAGAAACAAAGGAATTGAAGCATTTGGAAAGATTAAGAAGTTTTCCCAAGGTCTCCCCTCAGTAAACGGCAAGAATCATGTTCTGAAACTTCAAAAATCTAGGTTGAAACCCTACACCCTTATCCTCACTTGCTGCCTAGTAGGAGCAATCTCAGAGATTGGGGTGGGGGTGGGGACTGAACTAGCAATCGCTTAGCTCCAGGATCATTCACCATAACAGAGCTGGGTTGTTTGTTTGTTTATTTGTTTGTTTGTTTTTGTTTATTTGTTTTGATTTTTTCAAAGGGAAAAGATGGTAAATTCAAATCTGAATTTTGGCACCAGGATGTATTATATAACTATATCCCTTTGAACAACTAAACTTCTTAGCATCTTTGCAAAAGTTTCTGACAAAATTGTAAGTGTTCAATAAATGTTTCTTCATACAGGTGTGCCTGCTCTTTCCAACCCGGATTTCCGGCAAGTCTCTTTAGCTTTCTGCGTCTGAGTTTCTTCATCTACAAAGTGGAGATGATGATGGCTATGACAGGGGTAAATAGCTTAGCGCTCATCATCCTGGGAGCACAGTAAACGGTACCTTTCAGAATAAGTGTGATGCGCTTTTTCCTCGGTTGCACCCTGTGCTCCTGTCCTCGGTGACCCAGGAGGCTCAGTCTTTCCTGTGATCGCCTCATTACTTGCCTCCAGGACCTGCCACTCCCACACTCTTGCTTTAGTTTCTTGCTTTCACTAGAGGTCGGCGGGTTTTTTTCCCCCTGGCAAGCTGGTGGCGCACGACGGGCTTAAGCCTTCCTCCGCTGCGTCTCGCTCCCACGCGGGCGACCCTGCGGGCGGGGACAGTCCCGTGCACTGGCCGCGGGCCCAGCTGTGCCAGTCGCGCCCCGCCCAGTCCCGCTCCCGGCCCCGCCTCCGCCCTTGCAGCGCCCAGCCCCACTCTCTGATTGGCCGGCAGTGCCCGGCCCCGCCCGGCCCCTCCGAGCGGATAAAACCCTGGGTAGCCAAGGTCCGGGTATGTGCAGACAGATCGACTCCATCTGTGCAGACTAGCACTTAGGTCTGCCTGCACTTCGCCTCCTCGCGTTCGGGAGCCCCCAGGAGCCCACCACGGTCCTCCCCACGTCGTGCTGCCCTGCGCCCGCAACCATGTGCCGCACACTGGCCGCCTTCCCCACCACCTGCCTGGAGAGGTAAAAGGAGTTGGCTCAGCAGTCCCGAGGGACAGAGTCCCAGCTACACCAACCCTCAGGCTTGGAAACTTGGGTGGGCAGGAGCGTGGGGGCACTTGTGACTTGAGTGGAGCGCCATAGGACAGCTTTGTCAGGATCAGGGAGGAGGAAAGGCCACGGGACGTTGCTATTCCTTGGCTCTTGATAAAGAGTTGACCTCTTCAGCTGAAGTCTTTTATGCCCAGACCCGGCTTGCAGGAACACATTGACAACATCGCAGACCTGAATGTGTACTCGCTTGCTAAACGCTTAGCTTTCATTGCCTGTCCCAGAGGTAGGATCACGGCCTCTTTTGCTCCCGGGAAGCCAGGGGGAATCTTTGAGAGATGGGCAACTTTCTAGAGAGCTTTTCAGAAGCTTCCAGTCCTTATTGGAGGGGGCCACTGGGAAGGAAAAGGTAAAAATGAAGGTAGGACTCAGTTCCAGAAATACCCTTGACAAGTAGGGGTTGTTGAGCTGCCTTTGCTAATAACAGGCACAAAGATCAGTGTGATTTAAGTAGGACCAAGCCTACAGGTGCAGTGCCTTAAACCCAGAAAGCATTAAGACCCAGCAGGGCATAGCCCAAAGTGCTCTTGTTGCCTGGGACTTGAAGGCACAAATAAGGAAAGCAGTTGAGGCCTGGAGAATGGTCAGGTATTCCCAGGATTCTTGGGGATGAACTTTGGATAGTAGTGTTCTCTAGGATCCCACAAACGTCTAACAGAATCTTTATCTGCTCACAATTTATCTTTCAGAGCCAAAGAATTCAAAACACGTCTGGGAATCTTTCTTCACAAATCAGAGCTGGGCTTTGATAGTGGGAGCATTGGCAAGTTCGAGTGGGGCAGTAAACACAGCAAAGAGAGGTAAGTCCTGCCGTCCTACAGGCCAGCCCAGGGGTTCTAGAGAGGAGCCTGAGAAGTAAGATGTGGTGGAGAAACTGGGACAGGCAAGGTGGTCCTTGGACAGGCTAGGTGGTTCTTGGACAGGCTAGGTGGTCCTTAGCCACGCCTCTCTGGAAAGTTTAGTGAGATTGCAGGTGATGGCATGCAGGGTGTGAATGGATGCTTACCAGACTCTCATCTGGGGATGTCACTGCATGGGCATCCAGGGCAAGGACAGGGTCTACTTCCATTAGTGTGCACCTTGCTGAGAAGCCCTTATTTATTGAACATCAGCAGTACCAGTTGTTGTGCTAGGTTCTGGGATGATGGGATGATACAATCCCTCCAAGGCCTCTACTTCATTGGAGAGGTATGCAAACTAGAGCTGAGGATCTGTAGATAGAAACAGTTTTGGATACAGAAGAGGCAGCCTCTATTAGAGATACCACCTGAGGGCTAAAGAGTCCCTGGCATGGGTTGCTGGATGCCGAATTGTCCTCTATATAACGCTACTGCTTACTCTGACCCCAGCGAATTGTGGAGATTCACTTTTGATAATGATCAGGTTCTGGCTAGGATGTGTGCTGTGCTTTTGTTTGTTGATTTATAAAAATTAATTTTAAAAAATCTCTGTTCTTTTTTGTCTTAGTAGAAGCTTCTCAGAAGATGTGCTGGGATGGAGAGAGTCCTTTGACTTGTTGCTGAGCAGTAAAAGTAAGTAAGACCCTATTGTCTGTCTGTGGATGGCACGTGTGTACTCATGTGCTTGGAGTCCATCCCAGGGATGCTGAAAATATGGGCAAAATAATAGTAGTAGTAGTAGTAATAATCCCCATCCCCTAGTGTGCCAGCCTCTATTTGAAACACAAAGGCAGAGCCTTGTTCAGGAAAATTGCATTCTAAAAATAGAGACATTAATGGCAAGTGTTGTCTTTTTTTCTTTTATTCCCAGCTGTCCCCCATCTGACCTGTCTCCTCTTTTCTCTCCTCAACCCCAGATGGAGTGGCTGCCTTCCACGCTTTCCTAAAGACAGAGTTCAGTGAGGAGAACCTGGAGTTCTGGCTGGCTTGTGAGGAGTTTAAGAAGATCCGGTCCGCCACCAAGCTGGCCTCCAAGGCTCACCGCATCTTTGATGAATTCATTTGCAGTGAAGCTCCTAAAGAGGTCAGTGTCCTGACACTGGCCATAACTCCTCCAGACCCTGTCTGCCTCTTCCCAATTGAGAATCAGGGCGAGTGAGTGAAAGACTGGGTTTTGCAGATAAGTGGTCATCTTGGTTCACAGATGGGAGAGGGCTTCAGAGGCCAGGGACTAGGCTCTTTGCAATTGCTGGGTGCTGTCACCCTCAGACTCAGTAGGACAAGATGGGTTGACAATATTTTTTGGCTTCTCTCATACTTACATTTGCAAATTAGTTATTTTTAGAACCTCAACTGTGTAGACCTTGGGTAAACTGGCTCCTTGACTGACCTGCCGCCATCCTGCCCAGTTGGCTTTTTGCAATTCAACCTCTACTTTCAGTGGCCTCTGCACGGCAGCAGTGTTGGCTAAAGAATGTGGCGCCACCTGGTGGCCATCAGAGTAATGCCTCCTTTTTGTATAGAGCTTTGTTTTCTGACCACTTCTATGTATTCTGTATTAGTCCATAAATATTTATTAAGAATCAATTACATGAAAGACACTTTTATAGTCTCAGAGTATATAGAAATGGACAAGACAAAATCTCTAATAGAATTTATATTCTAATGGGAGGAAATGCCAGTAGCCAATTCAATATAAGCCAAGTCAGATACAGATAAGCAGACAACTGAAATTAGGAAGTCGGGTGAGTGGGGCTGAGGTCTCCCATTTAATAAAGGAAATCGGGAGTAGGTTGTTTGATGAAACAACATATGAGCAGAGAGATGCAAGAATCAGGAGAGGAGGACATCCTGCCACGGGGAATAGTAATTGTTTTGAAGTTATAGAACAGCAAGTGACCTGTGGAGCCAGGATAGAGGAGATGAAGTCAGGTCCGTGGTCAGTGACCAGATGTGGTCACACAAACACTCTGGCTTTTCTTCTGAGTGGCATAGGAAAACTAAGGTGTTCCCTTAGGTTTAAAAGGCCCAGTGTATCTCCTGGGAGGACAGAGAGGCAATATGGGTCAGGAGAGGAAAGAGTTAGGAATTCTTGCACTGATCCAGCAGGCAGAGGTAGACACTTGAATCGGCTATACAGCAGAGGGAAAGAGCAGCTGGCTTTGCATAATACATCCTCGTGCTAATTCTAAGAGCCTGGAGGAGGATCAACACTGAATCTGATGTGGGAACAGCTCTGGAGCTGAAAGGCTGGCTAGTGATTGACTTGGGAGACCCCAGCTTCCTTACTTAGTATCTGGTTCTCTTTCCATGACCCCACTTACCCCCTAAACTCCTTGCCCTGCCCCACTGCATCTCCTACTCACCCTGTACTTGCCTTGCTTCCTACAGGTGAACATAGACCATGAGACCCGGGAGCTGACCAGGACGAACCTGCAGGCTGCCACGGCCAGTTGCTTTGATGTGGCCCAAGGGAAGACCCGCACCCTGATGGAGAAGGACTCTTATCCACGCTTCCTCAAATCACCTGCTTACCAGGACCTGGCTGCCCAAGCCTTAGCTTCCTCCACCTCTGCATCTAGCAGCAGCCCAGCTGAGCCTTCACACACATGAGCCTCCATGGCAGCAAAGAAGCCAGTGGGAAGAGAGGTGGAGTCACCCATCCCTGAGGCGGCTGTCCTGTGTGGAAGGCAGGTTCTGCCCAGCAAGTGCGAGAGGACAGTGAAAGGAAAGACATTCCCACAGCCTGGGTACAAAGAACTCCCCCTCCTTCAGATACTGTGAGCTCAGTGTGGGAGAGGCTCCCCACTACAGGACCTGTCGCTGAGGACTGATGATGAGACTGTGGGGGCATTTAGGGCAGAGTAATGGTGGTACAGCAGTTAACTCTGGCTCCTGTCCTTCCTACCAGAGCAAGCTAGGATTCGGGATGGTTAGGGACCTTAAAAACAGGAGCTGGAAAGAACCATACCAGCTGTTTGCCTGGGGGACAGTTGGCTTTGGTCACATCTTGTTTTCCTCATTCCTGGATGGGGCACAGAAGGAACCATGGACCCTTCCCATCCTGTCCTCACCTACCCAGGGTCACCCCAGGGCCCTTCGCTTAGGCTTCTTAACATTCCTCTGGGGCCATCCTTGTATTCTCAATAGGGTCAATGAGTCAATGTGATTCTTGCCCAGAAAGAGATTTTTATACCTCAAAAACTGGCCTATGAGTCCCTTTGCAGGTCAGTAATGAGCCCTGAAAAAGGCTCATGTGACCCCATCTTGCCCATGTGACCCTAGACTGGGTGCTCTTTGTGGCCTTCTGTAGGTGGCCACCTGACCTTATGTTTGCAACAGGGTCCACTTGTGAACAGAATTAACCGAGCGGCTTCCCTGAGCCCTGTGCTGCCCTGGAAGATGGGGCTCAAGAAGGAGGTAGGGGTGGGAAGGAGGCAGGAGGCAGGAGGCTTTGGGCAGCAGGGCGAGAGCTTATGTCCAGCAATTGGAGCGAGGGAGAAAGGGTCATGAAGACCAAATCTCCTGGCAGAGCCCCCAAATCCCACTGAAATCAAGCCAGTATTCTCGTGGCTATGAGAACAAGGAAAAAGAGATGCCCCGGGGTGGAAGGGGGAGCCACGTGCTTCTTTCCCAGTGGACATGAGATGCCCACTGTAGTTGGGAGACAGGTGGGGCAGGGACCACCACAGCCCCGGATGTGCAGTTGGGGAGTAGCACAGCTGCTTGTAAGGGTGAGGTTGGGGGAAATCAGCCTGCCTGTCTGGGTCTTACCGAACAAACGTTCCATGTTGGGACTTCCTGTACCAGAGTCTAAGAGGGCAGCAGAATCCCCAGGCAGGTCCCATGAGACCCAGGCTCGCTAGCACTGTTCTCTCTGCACTTGAGCTCCTCCAGGAGAAAATTATTTAAGTCTAATATATTGTTAGTGTTGTGCTGATTGCCTCAGCAATTATTTTTGTTGATGTTGTTGCTGTTGTTATTTATTGTACTTTGTGTCTACTGGAGAATCTCTGTAAGAGTTGCTGCCTGACTGTCCCTCCCCTCCACCTCCCAGACTCTACCTCTGCAAGTGTTGGGAACCACTGAGGGCCTGTCAGGAGCTCCTCATTGTTTAAATATTTATTTATTGTGGACAAAGGGAGCTGGGTTCCTTGATGAGTGATGTATGCAATTCCTGTTTTCTTGTTTGAGCATGTTATATTCTTATAAAAAATGAAAATAAAACTCAAATATAACATCCTGTTTCCAAGGACTGCATGGTTGAGAAAAAAGGGTCAGGGAAGTATGGTGAGTACATGGTGTTCCAGGCCTCTGAGGATTCCTTAGGAGGGATAAAAGGTGAGCTTCTCCTCTGCCACCCCAAACACACACACAGGCACACGTAGAAGATTCACCTGGCAATAGGCATAACCAGAAACAAGGGGGATAAATGACTTCCCTTAGCTGATAGAACTCATCTTGTGTCGGGCTGTCCTGTGGATTGGACTGACTCAGTCTGCTGTCATTTCACAGCCTGTGTTTTAGTCTACCTGACTAGGACTCAGCATAAGCCATTCCTAACCCTGCCTGTATCAACCCAAGAGTTGGTGGGTGCCCCTTGGCATTGTTAAGTGGTAACTTTTGTAGCATTGCTATTTGTGTTAGCTTTTCATTGCTTCACAGCAATGCTCACAGAGTAAGCGAGGAAATGGAGGGAGGAAAGCATCCTTTGGGTGCATGGTTTCAGAGGCTTTGCTCTGCGGTCACTTGGCTCTGTTATTTCTGGCGAAGTAGTCTTCAGGGTAGGGAGCATGGGTGGAACAAGGCTGTCCATCTTGCAGCAACTGAGAAGCAGCAGCCAAGATAAAGCTCTCAAGTATACGCCGTAAGGACCACTCCTTTCAACTAGGTCCCACTTCCATCATGACCTAGTAGCCTATCAATGGACAAACAGAGCCCTCACGGTCCGGTCACCTCCCAAAGGCCTCCCACCTTGAAACAGTGCTGCATTCTGGACAGAGCCTCCAACATGAATCTTTACAGGGGCATTCTAGATTCAAACTCTTCTTTTTTGCCCATGGTCAGCATGTGTTAGTATTCTTTTATAATTTCATTTCAATCCAAGGAGTGACTTTCTTTTTACAGTTTCATAGATGTCAGGGCTGGAAAGATGACTCAGAGGTTAAGAGCACTGGCTGCTCATGCAGAGGACCTGGGTTTGATTCCCAGCCCATTTCCAGCCCCCACATAGTGGCTAACAACTATCTATAATTCCAGTTCCAGGGGATCTGAGGCCCTCTTCTGGTCTCTGCAGACATTGCATAACACAGGTACACTTATATACATGCAGGCAAAACATTTATGCACATAAAAATAAATAATTTTTTAAAGTTTTTTAAAAAGAAAAAATGTATTCTTCATGTTGAGTTACAATTACCTGTTTATACACAGATCCAGACCTGATGGTGATTTTCATTGCTCTTGGAAGTCATTAGTGTGATCAGAGCTCATGTACTTTGGGTAGAAACCCATTAGAATTGCACCCTACACCCAGATCTAGGGTTCTCTGGGTAGTGACAGGAGGGATTCTGACATTGAGGACCTAGAAAGGAAGAGGGGACAAACACCACACAGGCTTTGACCTCATGTCCTGACAAGAGCTCTGCAAGGTAGGTATGCTTGCCCTATGACAGATGAGGAAATGGAGATTCCCAGAGGGAGGAACATGCAAGGGGCAGCAGGCTCCCTGGCCCTTTAAGGTAAATGTAATATAATGTGGATGTAAAAATACAAAACATTTTTGTTATCTTTCTGTGTATGTGTGTGTGTTGCCACAGCATGCATATAGAAATCAGAGGGGACAACATGCCTGCTCATATAAGAGCATGGGATCCCTGGCTGCAGCCAACTGCCACTGCCTCCCTTTGCCAGACTGCAGGCAGACTGGTTGTAGGCATGTCTTTGTCTCTAGTTTTCCACACAAAGGGCCTTATACATAGTAAGGGCTTAGCAACTGCCTCCTGAATTAAAGAACTAATTTTAAACCCAGAAGTAGAGAAGTTAGATTAGCATTCCCTACCTCCTGCCAGACCTCTCTGCTTGGATGCCTCATGAGCTCTCTGTATGCAACATGTTTAGAACCAAGGGCCTAACTGTCCTCCCCAGTCTCTGCCTTCTGTTTCTCTTCCTCTGATACTCGGAGGCCACTCAGTCTTAAGGCTTCTCCATCTCTCTTCCCCATCACATCTAATTCCCATCAGAACTAAGTGGATGGAGCTCAGCTTCTCTGCAGCTAGTGAGACATGCAGGGCAAGTCTCTGTTCTTCACTGCTCTATTTCCTAGCTGTTCTCCCGACCCTGGCCTCTTGCAGCTCCAGCTTGTGCACATGGCACCAGTCTCAGCCCAAAACACAGATCTGAACACTGTGGCTCCATTAAAGGTTGTCAGTGGTTTAATTTTAAGTGCGAGGTAAAGCCCAGCTCTTACTGTGCGTACAAGGAGCAGACCCCAGGCCTCCCTAGACTTGTCTCCTGTCCAGATAGCCGTGGCTCCTTCCTTCCCGAAATTTACGTTGGGCATGTGACACGTGTTGTCCCCTCTGCTTGAATGCCTCTTTTTCCACCTCCACTCCCTTGAAAAAAATAGAACAACAACTTTCAAAATCCAGGAAGAGTACCACATAGGTGAAGGCTTCCGGACATTCCCTCAGAGAATCGATTGCTCCACCTCTGTGATCCCCAAACACACTGTTCTTACCTTGCTTATGGCCTACCTGGCTCTACAGAATAACTAATCATGTCACAGCTCTTTCTCTTCCATTAAGCTGAATCCTCAGGGCTAGGGCTTTAGCACCTTGATAAAATGGGGGCAGGACAACACAGCAAAGCAACTCACAGCTCTGGCCAGGAGACAGATGTTGGGTAGAATCCTGGTCCATTTGCTTTGGGAACTTAAGCCTAAGGGACAGTGTCCTCACTTATGGAATGAGTATGTGATCACACCCCTCCCAGGGAGTATTGGGTGAAATGCTGATGTCCCGAGTGGCAGTTATTATTGCTACCTGACTCTCAGTACTTAGCACAGTGCTGTGGCATTGCCGGCATTAGTCAAGAATGATTTATTAGCTCTTTGAATCAAACAGCAGAATTGTTTCCAACCTAGGATTAGGAATAGATTTTTTCTTTCTAGCATGGCTGTTTCACTATCATATTTTGTCTGATGCTGAGAGCATTCCAGAGTCTCAGATCAGGATACTAAGGTGGGAGGCATTAAGCAAGCCAGCAAATCACAGGAACACAGGATTCACTCCAACCCAGATCAGTTAGTGCTGTTTTTCCAACAGTTGCTTCCATGGCTGTGGAAGGCTCTCTTGTCCCTCACCCTCTGCTGCCACCCTGTGACCATGCCAGGCAATGCTAGCTAGCTTTTCTTTGACTTACATCATTTTTATTATTTTATTTTATTTTATTTTATTTTATTTTATTTTATTTTATTTTATTTTATTTTATTTTATTTTTTGTCTTTTTGAGACAGGGTCTCCCTGTTATTTTATGTGTACAAGTGTATTGCCTGCATGTAGATAAGTGCACCCGTGTCCTGCAATGCCCACAGAGGTTAGGAGAGGCTGTCAGATCCCCTGGGACTGGAGTTATGGACAGTTGTTAGCTGCCATGTGGGTGATGGGAT